TTTATTTTTCTACAAAATTGTTTTCTACACAACTAAAAAAAAAATAGTTGCTTTTGATTTTTTTTTTAATGTATTCAATCTCTTTAAATCTTTCGCATATCAAAATTATTTTTAAGAAAGATAATTTTTAAAAATTTTCAAAAGTTTTTAAAAACTAATTCACACCCCCACCCCGTGTAAATGCATAATATTAGAGGACATGTAGAAAGCTATTTTTAGAGTTGAACAATAAATTTATTCCTCTCTCTTGAAGCATTGTGCAATAACCCTGGTAAATTGCAAGGATCAGACTCACCATCTCGATATCTAAGAAAATCAACCAGCATGATTTCCATTAAAAAAAAATAAATAAATAAATCAATTAATGACACACATCTCTTGTGAATTACATTTGCATATCTTATAGTCTATTTTCAATTTATAGTCAAAATCACATAGAATGAAATATTTTCTTTCTTTTAACAGTAAATGTGACTTCTATGATGCTATATACAATTCATAATCTTGAATGTGGTTTTTTAAAGCTTTGAGAGAAAGAGCTTTTGGGGAGCACTTTTGGGAAACATGTTTTAAGGACACAATTATTGGGGATGAATTTTTAATATGTTTCATCTACTACAATGCTATTTTCATTTTATGTCCAAAATTATATTTTTGAAAGACTTTATAAATAATCGTGTATATGAAATAATGTAAATTTTGCTTTATGAGCACTTCACCTAATTTATTACTTATAGTTTGAATGAAGAGTTTCTCAAAATCAATTTGGATTCATGCCGGGTAGGTCGACTATGGAAGCCATACATTTAGTAAGAGGTTTGATGGAGAAAAATAGAGAAAATAAAGAGGATATACATATGATATTTATTGATTTAGAAAAAGCATATGATAAAGTTCAAAGAGAAGTGCTATGGAGAGTTCTTGAAAAGGAGTTAATAACTCTTATATTCAAATCACTAAAGATATGTATGCAGGAGTTATTACTTGTGTTCAAACACAAGGTGGTTTGACCAAGTATTTCCCTATTTTTGTTGGGATCAAGGATTAGCCTTAAGCTCATATCTTTTTTGCTTTAGTCATGGATGTTCTCACTAGACATTTGCAAGAGGATGTACCTTGGTGTGCGGTTCTTGCTAATGATATTATTCTTGTTGATAAGACTAGAGAGGGAGTTGAAGGTAAACTTGAATTATGGAGGTCAACCTCAGAGTCTAATAGTTTTCGCTTGAGTAAATCTAAAATACAATATATATGGAGTGTAATTTTAGTAGTAATAGACCTAGTGAGGGGATTGTGACTTTGGACGATCAAGTCATTAATAAGAGTGCATATTTTAGATATCTTGGATCTATTATTCAGAGTGATGGTGATATAGATGGGGATATTATCAGTAGAATTAAGTTGGATGGTTGAAGTGATGGAAAGCTTCGGGCTTATTGTGTGATAAAAAAGTACCCCTCAAACTTAAGAGAAAAATCTATAAGATGTTAGTGAGAATTGCAATGCTTTATGGTGACGAATGTTGGCCATTAAAAGAGAAGCATAATACTAAGTTAAGTGTTGCAGAGATGAACATGCTCAGGTGGATGAGTAGCTTTACCCTTAGAGATAGGATACAAAATGAGCATATACGTGAAAAGGTTGGAGTAACTCCAGTAGAAGATAAGATTAGAGAGAGTCGCCTTAGATGGTTTGGTCACATAAAATGGCTGCCTTCCGATGACCCAGTTAGGAAAGTAGAGGTATTAAATTTGACTTATGCTAAGAAAGGTAGAAGCAACCATTTGCACCTGAAATCGAATTCATTTGCAGCGGTTAAAACCGATGCAAGTTGCACCGGTTAAAACCGCTGGCAAATCCCATAAGTAACTTTAAGACACCCGAATCCCTAATTCATCTTCCTCTGTGCTCGCGCGTTCGAACCGAATCCAGACAGCCGTGCGCGACGAAAATCTCCTTATGTATATTAGCAGCTGTTAAGACCGCCATAATTCTGTATATTAGCAGCGGTTAAGACCGCTTCAAAAAAATGCTAGACATAAAAAGCTACCCTGTCGGTCTTCAAACCGCTGCGGAAGGCCGTTGTAGCGGATGGCAAAAACAGCGGTTCGCCGACCGCTGCAAATTAAATTGTAGCGGGTATAACCGCTGGGAAAAGTGAAATATTATGCTACGAAAACCCTATTTTTTGGTAGTGTTAAGGTTCTGAAAACCGGACCGGACAACGAACCGGAAGAAGTAGAGGTTCACGGTTCGACCGGTCGAACCGGGGTCGAACCGGATGACGTAATAAATAATATTATTATTATAAATATTTAATAAAATTAACAAAATAAAGAAAGATAATAATCATATAATTTAATATAAATTATTGCTAATTTATATTACATATTTAAATTTAATTTATAAATATAAATTATTTAAAAATTCACAAATATAAAATTATAAATATAATATAATTAAATATTTTAATA